CTCTATTCTTTTCTTTTATATTAACTTTGTCTAGTGCATGAGATTGAGCCATCAACAGTGACAAACTGGATCATGGAATTTCACAGTATCAAGTTTGGATATAAAGGAGCTTGGCAATCTTGTGGTCCACAACACCTCAATTTACCAAGGAAGCTGTGCAAGCTCAGGTCTCCAGGTTCATCCCAGGAACCCACAGCGTTCCTGTCCTTAGATCCCAAAAACAGGCTGCGGGACCCTGTGCTTTAGAGACCTCTGCAATGGCCCTCCCTAGCTGGGTGTGTTCCTCTGCACAGTGAGAAGTTGTGATGCACACAGCCAGTCTTCCCACTTTTAATCTGTTCTCTGGTCTCCCAGGAACCCAAGTCTCTTTCTCAAACAGGAAATGCCCACTGCCCAGGCCTGCCTGGGCCTCCTTCCAGGTCCGGGCCAGTTTGCACAATCCTGGGCCCTAGGGGCAGCTGTTTGCAAGGGACGTGCACTGAGTAGATTGATGTTTGCACTGGTGTTTCCACACACGTTAGAAGAGGATGTTCATGCTGGGTTATGGAACCCAGGTGGGAAGGGAAGAACAGTGTGTCAGAATTTAATTGATGTTTCTGACCCAGGAATACATATTTTAGGGACAGGCCTGTGCATGGCACAGCTGTCTGCTATCTCTGCCTCACTGCAGAAGTAAACAAAATCCCCCAGGTTCACCCAAGTCTAGACCGTGTCCAGCTGCTGTTTCTTGTGAGGTACATATTGAAGGTAGTTAATAAAAATTGTTGAACCAATGAATTGGTCTGTCTTGTGCACCAGGCTATGAGGTCTGAAAGGACTGGATCAAGGTCTGTTTTGCTCATTACTGTATCTCCACACACAGGAGACATACTTAATAAATATGTGCTGAATAAAAGTGAAAGAAGAATAATAAGTCAAGAGTTATAAATCCAGGAACACTCTAAAAAAATCCAGGCCAGACACTTTTGACCAGATAGTGTAGTTAACTATAGCAGTATCCTCCATATGTGTGTTCAGAGCCTGCTCTGAGGGACTAGGCAAATGCAAGTGAAATGCAAGTTTGCCAAAAGGTTTCACCCACCTGTAGGTACATTCAGGGTTACATGAAGACTGCCTGATTTCAGGACTTATTTCCTTTATTTGCATAATGCTTGTCCTCAGTCCTTAAGATGTCCCCTTCAGCATTTCTGAGAGTCCCCAGGGAGTGTCCCACTTGTGATTAAGAAAAAATCTAACTTTATTAATGCTCTCACTGCCTTGTAGTATAGTTTGAAGTCAGGTAGTGTGATGCCATCAGATTTGTTCTTTTTTCTTAGGATTGCCTTGGCTATAAGGGGTCTTTTTTGGTTCCATATGAAATTTAAAGTAGTTTTTTCTAGCTCTGTGGAGAAAGTCAATGGTAGCTTGATGGGAATAGCATTGAATCTATAAATTACTTTGGACTGTGTGGCCATTTTTATTGATTCTTGTTATCCATGAGCATGGAATATTTTTCCATTTGTTTGCATCCTCTCTTATTTCCTTGAGCAGTGATTTGTATTCTCCTTGAAGAGTTCCTTCACAACCCTTGTAAATTGTATTCCTAGGTATTTTATTTTCTATGTAGCAATTGTGAATGGGAGTTCATTCATGATTTGGATCTCTGCTTGTCTATTGTTGTTACTTAGGAATGCTTGTGATTTTAGCACATTGATTTTACATCCTGAGACTTTGCTGAAGTTGCTTATAAGCTTAAGAAGTTTTGGGGCTGAGATGATGGGGTTTTCTAAATATACAATCATGTCGTCTGCAAACAGAGACAATTTGGTTTCCTCTCTTCCTATTTGAGTACAGTTTATTTCTTTCTCTTGCCTGATTGCTCTGGCCAGAACGTCCAATACTGTGTTGAATAGTAGCAATGAGAGAGGGCATTCTTGTCTTGTGCTGGTTTTCAAAGGGAATGCTTCCAGCTTTTACCCATTCAGTATGATATTGGCTATGTGCTTATAATAAATAGCTCTCATTATTTTGATATATGTTCCACCAATACCTAGTTTATTGAGAGTTTTTAGCACCAAGGGTGCTAAATTTTATCAAAGGCCTTTTCTGGATCTATTGAGATAATCATGAGGTTTTTGTCATTGGTTCTGTTTATATGATGGATTACATTTATTGATTTGCCTATGTTGAGACAACCTTGCATCCCAGGGATGAAGCTGACTTGAACGTGATAGATAGGCTTTTTGATGTGCTACTGGATTCAATTTGTCTGTATTTTATTGAGGATTTTCATGTAAATGTTAATCAGGGATATTGGCCTGAATTTTTCTTTTTCTGCTGTGTCTCTGTCAGGTTTTGGAATTGGGATGATGCTGGCCTCATAAAATGAGTTAGAGAGGAGTCCCTCTTTTTCTACTGTTTGGAATAGTTTCAGAAGGAATGGTACCAGCTCCTCTTCATACCTCTGGTAGAATTCAGCTGTGAATCCATCTGGTCCTGAGCTTTTTTTGGTTGGTAGGCTATTAATTACAGCCTCAATTTCAGAACTCGTTATTGGTCTATTCAGTGATTCAACTTCTCCTTGGTTTCATCTTGGGAGGGTGTATGAGTACTGGAATTTGTCCATTTCTTCTAGATTTTCTAGTTGATTTGCATAGAGCTGTTGCAGCATTTTCTGATGGTAGTTTGTATTTCTGCAGCATCAGTGGTGATATCCCCTTTATCATTTTTTATTGTGTCTTTTTGTTTCTTCTCTCTTCTTCTTTATTAGGCTGGCTAGTGGTCTATTTATTTTGTTAATCTTTAAAAAAACAGATCCTGGACTTATTGATTTTTGAAGGGATTTTCAAGTCTATAAATCTTTCAGTTCTGCTTTGATCTTAGTTATTTCTTGTCTTCTGCTAGCTTTTCAATTTGTTTGCTCTTGCTTCTCTAGTTCTTTTAATTGTGATGTTAGGGTGTTGATTTTAGATCATTTACACTTTCTGATGTGGGCATTTAGTGCTACAAATTTCCCTCAAAACAGTGCATAAGCTGTGCCCCAGAGATTCTGGTACATTGTCTCTTTGTTCTCATTGTTTTCAAAGAACATTGTTATTTCTGCCTTAATTTCATTTACCCAGTATTCAGGAGCAGGATGTTCAGTTTCCATGTAGTTTTGCGATTTTGAGTGAGTTTCTTAATCCTGAGTCCTAATTTCATTGCACTGCAGTCTGAGAGGCTGTTTCTTATGATTTCCATTCTTTTGCATGTGCTGAAGAGTGTTTTGCTTCCAATTACGTGGTCAATTTTAAAATATGTGCTATGTGGTGCTAAGAACAATGTATATTTTGTTGGTTTGGGGTGGAGGGTTCTGTAGATGTCTATTAAGTCTGCTTGGTCCAGAGCTGAGTTCAAGTCCTGAATATCCTTGTTAATTTTCTGTCTCATTGATCTGTCTAATATTGACAGTGGAGTATTAAAGTCTCCCACTGTTATTGTGTGGGAGTCTAAGTCTCTTTGTAGGTCTCTACGAACTTGCTTTATGAATCTGGGTGCTCCTGTATTGGGTGCATATATATTTAGAATAGTTAGCTCTTCTTATTGCATTGATCACTTTACCATTACATAATGACCTTCTTTGTCTTCTTTGATCTTTGTTGGTTTAAAGGTTTAAAGTCTGTTTTATAAGAGACTAGCATTGCAACCCCTCCTTTTTTTGCTTTCCATTTGCTTGGTACATATTCCTCCAACCTTTTATTTTTAGCTTATATGCGTCTTTGCATATGAGATGTGTCTCCTGAATGCAGCACACAGATGGGTCTTACTCTATCCAATTTGCCAGTTTGTGTCTTTTAATTGGGACATTTAGCCCATTTACATTTAAGGTTAAAGTGGGTATGTGTGAATTTGATCCTGTCATCATGATGCTAACTGGTTATTTTGCACATTGGTTGATGCAGTTTCTTCATAATGTCATTGGTGTTTATATTTTGGTGTGTTTTTGCAGTGGCTGGTACTGGTTTTTCCTTTCCATATTTAGTGCTTCCTTCAGGAGCTCTTGTAAGGCAGGCCTAGTGGTAATAAAATCCCTCAGCATTTGCTTGTCTAAAAAGGATTTTATTTCTCCTTGACTTATGAAATGTAATTTGGCTGGATATGAAATTCTGGGTTGAAAATTCTTTTCCTTAAAAAAGTTGAATATTGGCTCGCATTTTCTTCTGGCTTGTAGGGTTTCTGAAGAGAGATCTGGTGTTAGTCTGATGGGCTTTTCTTTGTAGGTCACCAACCTTTCTCTCTCGTTGCCATTAACATTTTTTCCTTTGTTTCAACCTTGAAGATTCTGACAATTATGTGTCTTGAGGTTGCTATTCTCAAGGAGTATCTTAGTGGCGTTCTCTGTATTTCCTAAATTTGGATGTTGGCCTGTCTTGCTAGGTGGGGAAGTTCTCCTGGATAGTATCCTGAAGTGTGTTTTCCAACTTGGTTCCATTCTTCCCATTGCTTTCAGGGACCCCAATCAATTGTAAGTTTGGTCTAGTCCCACATTTATTACAGATTTTTTGTTCCTTTTCAATCTTGTTTCTCTAATCTTGTCTTCACATCTTATTTCAGTAAATTGATCTTCAATCCCTGATATCCTTTCTTCTGCTTCATCGATTCAGTTATTGATACTTGTGTATGCTTCACAATGTTCTTGTGCTGTGTTTTTCAACTCCATTAGGTCATTTATATTCTTTTCTAAACTGGTTATTGTAGTTAGCAGTTCCTGTAACTTTTTGTCAAAGTTCTTGGCTTCCTTGCATTGGGGTAGAACATGCTCCTTTAACTCAGAGGAGTTTGTTATCACTCATCTTCTGAAGCTTTCTTCTGTCAGTTCATCAAACTCATTCTCTGTCCAGTTTTGTGCCCTTGCTAGAGAGGAGTTGTGATCATTTGAAGGAGAAGAGGCATTCTGGTTTTTGGAATTTTCAGCATTTTTGTGCTGGTTTTTCCTCATCTTCATGAATTTATCTACCTTTGATGTTGGAGGCTGATGACCTTTGGATGGAGTTTCTGTGTGGGGGTTTCTTTTGTTGATGTTGATGTTATTGCTTTCTGTTTGCTAGTTTTTCTTCTAACAGTCAGATCCCTCTTCTCCTGGAGTGTAGTTTGCTGGAGTTCCACTCTAGATTCTATCTGCCCGGGTATCACCAGCAGAGGCTGCAGAACAGCAAAGATGGCTGCCCACCTCTTCCTCTAGAAGCTTCATCCCAGAGGACACCGGCCTGATGCCAGTGGAAGCTCTCCTGTATGAGGTGTCTGTCAACCCCTGTTGGGAGGTCTCTCCCAGTCAGGAGGCACGGGGGTCAGTGATCCACTTGAGGAGTCAGTCTGTCCCTTAGCAGAGCTCAAGTGTTGTACTGTTAGAACTCTACTTGTAAAAATCTGCTGCTCTCCTCAGAGCCGGCAAGCAGGAATGTTTAAGACTGCTGAAGGTGTGCCCACAGCAACCCCCTTCCCCAAGATGCTCTGTCCCAGTAAGAGGGGAGTTTTATCTATAAGCTCCTGACTGGGGCTGCTGCCTTTCTTTCAGAGATGCCCTTCCAGGTGAAGAGGAATCTAGAGAGGCAGTCTGCCACAGCTGCTTTGCTGCACTGTGTTGAGTTCTGCCCGGTCTGAACCTCTAGGCCTTTTTAGCACTGTCAGGGGAAAGCTCAGTAATGGTGGATGTACCTCAGTAATGGTGGATGCCCCTCCCCCAACCAAACTGGAACATCCTAGGTCAACTTCAGACTGCTGTGCTAGCAGCCAGAATTTCAGGCCAGTAGTTCTTAGCTTGCTGGGTTCTGTGGGAGTGGGACGTGCTGAGGGAGACCACTTGTCTCTCTGGCGTCAGCCCCCTTTCCAGGGGAGTGAACGGTTCTGTCTCAGTGAGATTCCAGGCGCCACTGGGGTAAGAAAACAAAACAAAACAAAACAAAAAACTCCTGCAGTTAGCTCAGTGTCTGCCTGAACAGCTGCCCAGTGTTGTGCTTGAAACCCAGGGTCCTGGTGGTGTAGGCACACTAGGTAATCTCCTGGTCTGCAAATTGCAAAAACTGTGGGGAAAATGTAGTGTCTGGGCCAGATAGCACAGTCCATCATGGCTTCCCTTGGCTGGGAAAGGGCGCACCCCTCCACCCACTCCTTGTACTTCCTGGGTGAGCTGATACCCCAACCTGCTCCTGCTCACCCTCTGTAGGCTGCACCTACTGCCTAACCAGTTACAATGAGATAACAGGGTACCTCAGTTGGAAATGCAGAAATCACCCACCTTCTGCGTTGATCTCGCTGGGAGCTGCAGACCTAAGATGTTTCTATTCGGCCATCTTGCCAGCGCATATTTGAACTTTGAGTTACCAGCCGTCATAAGTGTTTGGCATTTCTTTGGATAAAGGCAAAAAAGAGAAATCTAGGTTGCTTTTGTCTGTGCTCCTATGTGTTCTTAGAGTCACAATACTTCTGTAATGATTGTGGCCTGATTTCATTGAAAGATGGAAACTGAAACAAGGTCATATTTAAATGTGCAAATATTTTTCAGTGTCCTCAGATGATAAACCCTATCACTTTGCTCAGCAGTAGTGAAGACATCTCTTGTGCAGGGTGCAGTGGCATCTTGTCATCTTCTGCTTGCTCTGCATTCATTTCCCTTTCTTCTGGTCATATCCTTAATCCCTTAAGGATGTGATCCCTTGCCCTTTTTTGAACATACATTCAAATGGTGCTGGTTCCACCTCTATGCCACCTCTGGGGTCTGGATCTGTGGCCCAACACTAGTCAACCAGGTTTTTCTATAGGCTTTACATGGCTTTGCTGGTTGGTCATTGTAGGGTCAAATTTACAAAGAAAAGGGTAGTCAGCTCAGGTACATTGACAACAGCTGGACAGCGAGCTGACCCAGAGCACTTTTTATGGAGTCCTATTTGGAAATAGGAGTCAGGCTGGCAGGACCAAGGAAAAGCAAAAAAAGAAAGCAGATAAGCTGTAAGTCTGCTTTTCATCATGGTCCAGAACATGTAGCCCTCGTGCACCCAACTTATCACCAGGTACTTGCAAGTTAGCTCACTTGCAACCTTGGTATTATCAGTACTGCACAAAGCCCTCTTCAGCACACAGCAGAAACACTATCCTATAAAATCTCCAGCAAGCCCTTGCTTTATTGCAGTTTCTTTCTCTCATGCTGATGTGATCATTGCTTTCTTACAATATATTTTCATACTTTCTCTAATAAATCTGCCTTTCTTTATCTACAACTGACTTGGTAAATTCTTTTGCCCCTGTACCACCAGCCCAAGTATTTGTTGGCCTTATCTGCAACACTTTTTTATATTCCCGGCAAGGATCCATAATATCTAAGTAGGCTCTGTGAACATCCATCCTGTATGACTCATTTGGTGAAGTTCCAAAGCTTGCATAGCTAATTTATAGTGTTGGAGGTCAGGAGAGTGGTTATGCCTGGGTTAAGGAATAATGAGTAAGAAATGGAAAGGGCATGAGGAGGCAGTTTCTGACTTTTTAAAAATAGAAGTGCTGTCCATATGTATTCATTTTTTGAAAATGGAACACCACTTGAGATGCACACATTTGATCTGTGCACTTTATGGGTATTCTACTTCTAAAAATTTTTCACTAAAAATAACCCATAAGATTGTAAAAAAAAAAATTTCTCAGCCTAACTTTTATTAAAACTAAGTTCAGACAGGAGGAAGGCAAGACAACAAATCTAAGTACTACATGTCTTCCATATGAAGGCCCTGAGACAGCAGCTTATTTCACATTCACCCTGTGAGTCCTTTAGGTTATAATCACATCTAAGTTTTGATTTGTTTATTGAAAATTCCAAGTTTGGTTTTTTTAGATTGTTTTCTTTAACAGATCAATAATAATTAAATCAATATGTTTTTGACTCTCAATGGAATACTGTTGAATAAATTTTTCAGTGGGCTGCTTATGCAATAAATAATCCAGAAATTTATTCCAACCTACTGACTTGGATATTACTGCCATTTGGATGATATTTTAAAAACTTTTTTAAATAAAAAAATTAAGGACAAAATTCTTCAGACCAGTTTAAGTGATGAGTGATAGAGGAGAAAAACTAATGAAATATCAGTAAGGAAATCTAGAAAAGAATTATGCTTCTGGAGCAAAAGACAAAGAATTTCTAGAAGAAATGAATGGGCAGAAGTAAGTGCTGCCAGGAGAGTGACCAATGTGAAGGTTAAGGAGAAGTCACGCATTTGGAAAGGAGGATGCCAAAGTGACAACATGACAACATGCATATAATACAAAGTATTATAATAATAATAAATAAATAAATAAATAAATAAATAAATAAATAAAAACAAAAAAAAACAGGGAAAAAAAGAACAGGGCAATTATTGCTTAAAGATTCCTATAGCCAAAAAATAGAGAAAATTAAGTGATTTAGAAAAACACTAGGGGATTTTCCATGCAAGCTTTCATCTAGAGGATTTTTCATCCTTTCAATATAAAGATTTCGTTTTTCATTAATTTATTATTATTATTATTATTATACTTTAAGTTCTAGGGTACATGTGCAAGACAAGAATTCTGTGGAAGAGCCTGAATGGTGAAGTAAGTGAAAGCAGGAGAGGGACCAATGGGAAACAGAAGTCATCATGAGACTTGGAAAGGGAGGATGCCAAAGTGTGATGCCAACACATGACAACATGGCTATAATACAAAGTATTATAATAATAATAAATAAATAAATAAATAAATAAATAAATAAATAAAACAAAAACAGGAAAAAAGAACAGGCAATATTGCTTAAAGATTCATATAGCCAAAAAGAAAATATGATTTAGAAAACACTTGGGGATTTTCCATGCAAGCTTTACCCAGATTTTCTGCATCCTCTATAAAGATTTGCCATGAATTTATTATTATTATTATTATTATACTTGCCTGTGCATATGCATAACGTGCAGGTTTGTTATAAGGTGTATACTAGCATGCTGGTGTGCTGCAACCATCAACTCCACAGTAATCATCAACCGCCATTAAACATCAGGTATAACTCCCAGTGCAATCCCTCCCCTCCCCCTATGATAGCCCCCCGGGGTGGATTTCTCCCGTAGCCTGGGGCGATCTCATTGTTCAGTTCCCACCTATGAGAGAACATGCATAGTTTGGTTTTCTTGTTCTTGTGATAGTTTGCTAAGAATGATGGTTTCCAGCTGCATCCATGTCCCTACAAGCAAAGGACAGCACACTCATCCTTTTTTTATGGCTGCATAGTATTCCATGGTGTATATATGTGCCACATTTTCTTAAATCCAGTCTGTCACTAATGGATATTTAAGATCTCCAGTCTTTGCTATTGTGAATAGTGCCGCAATAAACATACGTGTGCATGTGTGTTTATAGCAGCATGATTTATAACTTTGGGTACATACCCAGTAATGGATGGCTGGGGCCATGGCGTGGTACATCTAGTTCTAGATCCTTGAGAATCACCAGAGCTACTGTTTTCATAATGGTTGGAAATCAGTTTACAATCCCAATTGTGTAAGTGTTCCTGGCTTCCTCCACATCCTCCAGGCACCTGTTGTTTCGTTCTTTGAATGATCGCCATTCTAACTGGTGGAGATGGTCTCATTGTGGTTTGATTTGCATTTGAGTGCAAGCAGTGATGATGCATATCATTTCACGTTCGTTGGCTGTAATGAATGTCTTCTTTGAGAAATATCTTTGCTCATATCCTTTGCCCACTTTTTTGATGGAATGTTTTGTTTTTTTCTTGTAAATTTGTTTGAGTTCTTCGTAGTTCTGGATATTACTTCTGTCAGATGAGTAGATTGCAAACTTTTCTCCCATTCTGGGTGCTGCCTTGTTCTCACTCTTGGATGGTAGTTTTTCTTTGTTGTAGTTTTTAGTTTAATGAGAGATCCCATTTGTCAATTTTGGCTTTTGCCAAGCATGGTGTTTTGGGTGATACGTGGAAGCCCTGCCCTATGCCTATGTGTCCTAGTGGAATAACACATTCAGGTTTTTCCTCTAGGGTTTTTATGGTATTAGGTCTAATATTTAAGTCTCTAATCCATCTTGAATTAATTTTTTATAAGGAGTAAGGAAAGGATCCAGTTTCAGCTTTCTACTTATGGCTAGTAGCCAATTTTCCCAGCACCATTGCAATAAATAAACAGGGAACCTTCTTTCCCCATTTCTGTTTCTCTCAGTTTGTCAAAGATCAGATGGCTGTAGATGTGTGGTATTATTTCTGAGGACTCTGTTCTTTTCCATTGGTCTATATCTCTGTTTGGTACCAGTACCATGCTGTTTTGGTTACTGTAGCCTTGTAGTATAGTTTGAAGTCAGGCAGCGTGATGCCTCCAGCTCTGCCTCTCCTTGATTTAGGATTGTCTTGGCAATGCAGGTTCCATATGAACTTTAAAGCGTTTTTTCCAATTCTGTGAAGAAACTCATTGGTAGCTTGATGGGGATGGCATTGAATCTATAAATTACCTTGTGCCGTGTGGCCATTTTCATGATATTGATTCTTCCTATCCATGAGCATGGTATGTTCTTCCATTTGTTTGTGTCCTCTTTTTTTTCACTGAGCAGTGGTTTGTAGTTCTCCTTGAAGAGGTCCTTTTTACACTTCTTTGTAAGTTGGATTCCTAGGTATTTTATTCTCTTGAAGCACCTGTAGAATGGAAGTTCATTCATGAGATTTCCGCCTTCGTTTGTCTTAATACTGGTGTATAAGAATGTTGTGATTGTAATATTAATTTTGTATCCTGAGACTTTGCTGAAGTTGCTTATCAAGCTTAAGGAGATTTTTGGGCTGAGAACTGGGTTTTCTAAATATACAATCATGTTATCTGCAAACAGGGACAATTTGACTTCTTTTCCTAACTGAATACCCTTTATTTCTTTCTCTTGGCTTGATTGCCTCAGCTGAACTTCCAACACTATGTTGAATAGGAGTAGTGAGAGAGGGCATCCCTCCTGTCTTGTGCCAGTTTTCAAAGGGAATTTTTCCAGTTTTTGCCCATTCAAAAAGTGATATTGGCCAGTGGGTTTGTTATAAATACTCTTATTATTTTGAGATATCGCTCCATCATCACCGAATTTATTGAGCGCTTTTGTGCATGAAGAGCTGCTGAATTTTTGTCAAAAGCCTTTTCTGCATCTATTGAGATAATCATGTGGTTCTGTCTTTGGTCTTGTTTATATGCTGGATTATGTTTGTATTGGGATTTCCGCGAATGAAAGAACAAATGCATCCCAGGATGAAGCCCGTAATTTGATCATAATGGATAAGTTTTGATGTGTTGCTGAACTGCCATGTATTTTACTGAGGATTTTACATCATGTTCATCAGGGATATTGGTCTAAAATTTCTTTGAGCGTCTG